GGACAGAAGGAAATGGAGGAACATAGGGCAGGGAAGTGGAATAAAAAAGACATTATATTCAAATTGTGTTTTATAGAGATCTAAAAGATAGTTTTAAATTTTTCACATTTTTAAATAGCTGGGCATGATGGTGTGTGCCTGTAGTCCCAGCTACTTAGGAGGCTGGGGTGGGAGGACCATTTGAGCCCCCGAGTTCAAGGTTGCAGTGAGCTATGATGGCACCACTGCACTCCAGTCTGGGTGACAGAGTGAAATGGGTTTTAAGAAAGGGTTTCTTTTCTTTTTTCGAGATAGGGTCTCACTCTGTCACCCATTCTGGCGTGCAGTGGCACTGCAGCCTCAACCTCCTGGGTCAAGCAATCCTGAGTAGCTGGAACTAAAAGTGCATGCCACCATGCCTACTAATTTTTAAATATTTTGTAGAGACAGGGCCACTATGTGGTCCAAGCTAGCTTCAGACACTTTGTACAGCCTGCCAAAGTGCCGGGATTACAGGTGTGATGCTTGGCCTGTTTCTTTTTTAAATTGTATGTATTTAAGGTATACAATATGCTTTGTTGTACTTATCTTGATATACGTATAGTGATTATTACAATCTAACAAATTAATATACACAATGTCATATACTTACTTATGTCTGCTAAGAGTACATAAAATCTATTGTCTTGGCAAATTAACAGTATCCTATACAATATTGTTAAGTATCATCCTGATGTTGTTCAATGGATCTCTAACTTATTCATCCTACATAACTGTAACTTTGTACCCTTTGACCTACATCTTCTTAACCTTCAGCCCACACAATAGCCACCATTTTAGTCTCTGTTTCTATATAAGTAAAAAGTTTATTATTCCTAGGTAATACTCTCAAAATAGGCAAATAAGACCTAGCATTTGGAATGTTTGATGAAAAGTAAGAAATCAGACCATAAACCCAATGTGAACTTACCTCATTCTCATTACTGGAAAAACCCTATGCAAGAGGCTCAAAAGGCCTCAAGAAAGCACATGGTTTAAGTCGAGGGTCTTTTGCCTTTTTATACTAATCTTCTGCCATTCCCTCCACAATATTCTATGCTTCTGCCAACCTGAACTTTGTTCACCAGCCTGGAACTTCCTCTTTGATTTAGAACATTTCTTCCTTTGTCTGGATTGATAGTACTTATTACATTACAATTGGATGACTATATAACTGTGTGTCCCTACACTGAGCCCTCACAGGGCTAGAATTCAGTCTTAATAATCTTTCTATAGCCAGTTGGTAATACAATGTTTGGCTCTCAATAAATTCTGTCACTGTTGATCATGACTGGAGAGAAACATGCAACCATGTTGACTAGTCTCATCTTCAATTCATGAACATGAATTCAAATAGCCCTTTAACAAATAGGCTGAGTAATACCGTATTTCTCTAGGCTTTTCACTCTCCTAGACAATTATCTTATACCTTCTCTTTTCTCCTTAACCCCTAAGACCCTTCAATGCACCCATCTTCGCTCTACCTAAGGACCATGTTACTTACTTCAGTGAGAAAAGTGAAGCAATCACAAGAGAATTCCCACAGATTCTCACTTGTACCCACCTACTATCATCTGTATCCATGTAGTCTCCCTTCCACCTATTCATACATGAAGCATTTATGCTCTATCTAAAGCCAAAACCTTTACTTGGTCACTACATCCTATCCCCTTTCTCTTGTTCAAAAACATTTCTTCAGCAATTCTCTCCCCTCAACAACATTCCCATCTAATTTAGGTTGCTTTTCATTTATTTTCTATAAGGACACTCTGAAATCTTAAATGTGAATGTTCATTAAAAATATATACATACATATATATTTACACATAGATATGTGTATGTGTGTGTGTATATATATATACATATATGTATTTTGAGACAGTGTCTCGTTCTGTCATCCAGGCTGGAGGGCAGTGGCATGATCTTGGCTCACTGCAACCTCGGCCTCCCAGGTTCAAGCAATTCTCCTGCCTCAGCCTCCTGAGTAGCTGGGATTACAGGCACACACAACCATGCCTAATTTTTAGTAGAGACTTTATTTTTAGTAGAGATGGGATTTCACCATGTTGGTCAGGCTGGTCTCGAACTCTTGACCTTGTGATCCTGGCCACCTCGGTCTCCCAAAGTGCTGAGATAACAGGTGTGAGCCACCATGATCAGCCTAAAAAATATATTCTAAGCCACCACTGTGATACATCAGTAAACAAAAGAAGGCCAATATCTCTTTCCCTGCAGAGTTTATAATCTACCAAAAGGAGACAGAGAAACTGTAAAATCTATTCTCAACACATGGCCAAGATGACCCTTTTAAAATAATATCATGTCATTTCTTTGCTCAAAACTCAGCAGTGGCTTTCCATTTCCACTCAGAGTAAAAGCCAAAGTCTTTATAATGTTATACCTGAGCGAGTAAAGGAAAGCGCCACACTCTTGAGATTGAGTTATGAGTCCTTTATTGCCGGTGACTGAGAGACAGCTAACACCCAAAATTCTCTCAGCCCTGGAGAAAGAGTTAGGTGGTTTTTTATACCCTAGTTTGAAAAAGGAGGGGGAACCTAGCTGAAGCAATTTTTCTCACAGAAGCAGAGCAAGCAAAAAGTTAAAAGATAAACTAGAAACAATATCAGGTGCAGGGGCTTAATCTGTCACAAAAGACATACAACTTATAGATATGAGGGCTCTGGGGACTAAGCAACAGCTGCATTCCCAGGGTCTGCTGGTACCGAGTTATCTTATCAGCAAATGCATTCCTGGGTGTGCCTGGTGTCATCCTGCCCCCGCAGCTACACACTACAGCTACATACCTAATGCAGGGAAAAAACTATAAGTGAAGAAGCTAAGATGGAGTTTGTCCAGCTTCTTCAACTAAGAATGAGTTGGTAAGGCCAACACAAGGTAGGTAAACACAATAATGGCTTATTAAGACCTAATATGATTGGACTCTCTAGTACCTCTCTGGTATTTGCTCCCACTCCAGCAACATTAGCCAACTTGTTGACTTCTAGTAGGCACGTCCCAATTTTGCAGTTTCCTCTGACTGCACTGCTCTGCATGGTATTTTCATGGCTCTTGTATTCCCTTTAAGAATTTGCTTACATGTACCTTCTCAATGAGGCCTCTCTGATTGCCCTATTTAAAATTGCTGCCTGGGCACAGTGGCTCATGCCTATAATGCCGGCACTTTGGGAGGCTGGGGTGGGGAGGGGATCACTTGAGGCCAGGAGTTCGAGACCAGCCTCGTCAACATGGCGAAACCATCTCTACTAAAAATCTAAAAATTAGCCAGGCATGGTGACAGGTGCCTGTAGTCCCAGGCACTCGGGAGACTAAGGCAGGAGAATAGCTTGAACCCAGGAGGCAGAGGTTGTAGTCAGCCGAGATTGTGCCACTGCTCTTCAGCCTGGGCAACAGAGACTCTGTCTCAAAAAAGAAAAAAAAATTGCAATCCTCTTACCCCCCACCCCGTATTTCACTCTTTTTTTGTTCAATTTTTTGTTTTGCATCACTTACCAACCTAACATATAAGTACATAATATACATATAATATATATATAAGTACATACAGTATGCTTATGTTTATAATATAACATTTATTATTTGTCTGTCTTCCTCTACCAGAATGGCCTAGAATGTACTTTTTTAAACTCTCAAAATTCAGTAAGACAACAATTTAAGGGCTGGGCGTGGTGGTTCATGCCTGTAATCCCAGCACTTTGGGAGGCCAAAGTGGATCACCTGAGGTCAGGAGTTCGACAGCAGCATGGCCAACATGGTGAAACCCTGTCTCTACTAACAATTCAAAAATTAGCCAGGTGTGGTCATGGGCACCTATAATCCCAGCTACTTGAGTGGCAGAGGCAGGAGAATCACTTCAACCTGAGAGGCGGAGATTGCAGTGAGCTGAGATAGCGCCACTGCACTCCAGCCTGGGTAACAAGAGTGAAACTCTGTCTCAAAAAAAAAGAAAGAAAACAATTTAAAAGTGGGTGAGCTATGATGCTGGCTGTGGTTAAGAAAAGAATAAAAAACAAATAAGAAAAAAAAAAGTGGGTAAGGCTGGGCATAATGGCTCATGCCTGTAATTCCAGCACTGTGGGAGACCAAGGTAGGTAGACTGCTTGAGCCCAGGAGTTTGAGACCAACCTGGGTAACATGATGAAACCCAATCTCTACAAAAAATTAGCCAGGCATAGTGCATGTGACCGTAGTCCCAGCTACTAGGGAGGCTGAGGTAGAGAATTGTTTGAGCCTGGGAGGCAGAGATTGCAGTGAGCTGAGATCATGCCACTGTACTCCAGCCTAGGTGACAGAACAAGATCCTGTCTTAAAAGAAAAAAGAAAAATAAAAAAGGCCAGGTGTGGTGGCTCACCATAATCCCAGCACTTTGGGAGGCCAAGGTAGGTAGATCATGAGGTTAAGAGATGATTGAGACAATCCTGGCCAACAGGGTGAAACCCTGTCCCTACTAAAAATATAAAAATTAGCTTGGCATGGTGGTGTGCTCCTGCAGTCCCAGCTACTCGGGAGACTGAGACAGGAGAATCACTTGAAGCTGGGAGGCGGGGGTTGTAGTGAGCCAAGATCGCACCACTGCACTCCAGCCTGGCGACAAAGCGAGACTTCATCTCATTAAAAAAAATAAAAAGTGGGCAAAAGATTCAGACACATCATTGAAGAAGACAAATACACCATGAAAAGATGCTCAACAGTGTCAAATTAAAACCACAGTAAGATACTACTACTCACCTATTAAAATCTCTAAAGTCTAAAAACTCTTTATACCAAGGGTTGTCTAGAATACAGAGAACATGGAAGGTTTATACATTATTGGTGGGAATATAAATTGCACAACCACTTTGGAAAATCATTTGGCAGTTTCTTAAAATGTTAAATATATACCTAACATAGGACTCAGACATTCTACTCCTAGATATTTACCCAAGAGAAATGAAAGCATAAATCTCTATAAAGACTTGTACACATGTTCATGGAAACTTTATTCAAAATAGCCTAGATTTATTAATATCCATCATCAAAAGAATAAACAAATTATGATATATTCATAAAATACTACTCAGCAGCAAATGATTTATTCATAAATGCTACAATATAGACAAATCACAAAATTACTATGCTGAGTGACAAAAGCAAGACCAAAAAAGGTTCATACAATATGATTTCATTTGCAGCAAACTGATATTAAAGAAAGCAGATCAGTCGTCAGGTGATGGTGGGATGGGGTGGGAGGCAAGGAGGATTAAGTAAGCATGGATGACAAAGAGGTACTACAAACTTTTGCAGGTGATGAATATGTTCATTATCTTGATTATGGTGATGATTTCATGGCTGTATACATATGACAAAACTTAACAGATTGAATACTTTAAATATGTACAATTTATTGTATTTCAATTATACCTCAATAAAGATATTTAAAAATAAAAACCCTCCTGGTACATGATTCCCACTCTGTCTTCTGGTTTTAGTATTCTTTTTTTTTTTTTTTGAGATGGAGTCTTGCTCTTGTTGCCCAGGCTGGAGTGCAATGATGTGATCTCCACTCACTAAAACCTCTGCCTTCCAGGTTCAAGTGATTCTCTTGCCTCAGCCTCCCAAGTAGATGGGATTACAGGTGCCCATCACTATGCCTGGCTACTTTTGTATTTTTAGTAGAGACAGGGTTTCACCATGTTGGCCAAACTGGTCTTGAACTCTTGACCTCCAGTGATCCGCCTGCCTTGGCCTCCCAAAGTGCTGGGATTACAGGCATGAGCTACCATGCCCAGCCAAGTATTCTTATACCCATATCACATTACCAAAGGTTTTCCATGTTAACCATACAAATTATTTATTTTTCTCAGGAATCACTTTAGCATCCATTAATAAATAAGTTTTTTTATTTGTGAAGTTTTAAGAATTCAGTCAGCAATGAATACTTGTATTATTCAACAGTAAAACTCATAGCTAACATGTATGTGGCAAAAGTATACTAAGGCTTTGTCCTTATGACTAAGTTAATTAAGTAGAATTATAGATTTTTAAATACTAAAACAGTGTATCATTTAAGGTGTTTAAATGTCTAAGACAGCTGATGGAGAAGAGCCAATGCAGTATCCCTTCTGGAGAGATTAAGATTTCCAAGGTCCTCGAAAATAGGTACAGAGTAGAATAAAGTTTAAAAAAGAAAAAAGCAAAGAGGGAAAAAATTAATAATCTCTTCTCTTTTGACCACATACTTTGTCATTACTCCTAAAATACAAAGCTGTACTTGAAAATATCATGGTGACAAAATGTCAGGGGGTGGGGAGAAAGAATTACTTATTACATGCATTGTTTTAAAATGTTTATGCTTGGCTGAGTTGCAGGGTATTAAATGCATATATATATCTCCCCAAAACATAATACTAATAGGAGTTACTGGTAGTTACGCTTAGCACTTTCAGGGTCCCAACTGGACATAAATCTCTGGTCAAAATTCTCAGGTATTAAAGTGTTTATTCAGCATCTTCAAGATGAACAAAATTGCTACTATCTCTAAGGAAATTATAAAAAGAAAATTAACAAGTATAAGAAAAATAATGAAAAAAATACATAACAAGGGCACTATACATTAAATTGCTACACACACACACACGTTTTTAAAAATCTCTTTTTTAAACCTGGTACAAGTTAAACAACATCTTTCTCATACCCACATTATTAAGTATGTATTCTGACAGGATATAAAGATGAAACACAAGCTGGTGGGCCTTAGAATTCGAAACTCCAATGCAGGACCAGATCCCAAAAGCTATGTTTTCTATCACTTTTGTGACATTTAGGAAACATTTACCTTGCATAAGATACAAAAGCTTTTCCTTTTAAGTATGCTAACTATTTGTACAGAAAATTGCTATTGAGGCACAGGTCCACCAAGGCTATATCTACCTATAATTCACTGTAGTATATATAAAGTTCACTTGGAGGTTGGGAATGTCAAAAGTATAATGAATAAACAAGCTGAGCTGTAATTGTGAATTTCTTACTGCTAATTTTGAATGTCCAACTCACTCCTACAGATATTACACCTTATAATACGTGACACACAAAACACTATGTCAAACTTTGCTGTAGAGCTGTTAGGAGAATGCCAACATAGATCCTAAAAATTTTAGGAACTTGTATTTAATACCCTATACATTTAAAAATAATTAAACATTTTAAATATGTAAACATAGTTTTCAAAAAGTGATGCTGAGCACCTTTAAACACAATACTGATACATTGTGACTAAACATGCATTTAGATGACAATGAATCGCTTTTTAAAGAGCTACTCATTTAAATACTTACATGAACATACTGATAGCTCCAGTTTCTACCTAAAAACCAAAAGAGTATATAATTAGGGATTTAAACTTTTCTTCATGCTCTCGGTTTTTGTGGGGTTTTGTTTTGTTTTTTGGATTGTGGAAAAGTTGCACTGTTAACTTTCTGATTAAAAAACAGTATCAGAAGAGACTTTCACACAGAATGAAGTGAGAAAAATATTTTTTAACTATACCAAAGTCTGAATCCTCTGACATGTCTCATCCTTACAAGTAACTGACTGGAGTTTGTATATTAACAAGCATTTCTCCTTAGCAACTCAACATCAAAAAAGAAAGGAGTGTCTCCAAAAGAATATAGTTCAATTGGTGAAATAGCTAATAAACCATTACCACTATTGAGAGGTGAAGATTTATTATTTAGAATCTTGAAAGAAAAGGATCCCATAAAAACTAGAGTAAATGAAAAGAATATTACCTATTGTTCAACACTAAACTATAAATTATTCTGAACTTATTCCTTTTATGTACACACAGATTAAGAGAAATCTGGATTTGAGGTAACTAAGAGCTGTGTTTAACTTAGTATAACACAATCAAATTTGGCAACCTGCCTCTATAAAATGCTGACATCAAATATTTTCAATTCTTAGGAAAATGAAAATTAATTTTTATTAAAAAAATCATACATATAATTAAATATTAGCTTTGCATTAAATAGGGTATAAATAATAAACTTTATATTAAATAAAATATAAATCTAAAGGGCAAGGAACATTAGAATTCCACCTACCTCTACTATAACAGTACTTTATAATTAGATATATGTCATGTACCTGAAACAAAGTGAATTAAGAATGGGAGGCTGGACTTAGAAAAGCCGAAAATGACTCATATTCATGTAAAGTGTTAAGGTTAAATTTGATATATTGTGCATGCTTTGAATATTAACTATTAATATCCATTTAAAATCTTTATTTTTAAAATATAAAATATACCCACAAATGGTCTCTGGAGAAAACAAAAACCTTTAGGTTAATTTCCCAACAATTATAATTGATATTTCTAGTTTACCAATCTTTTTTCTTTTTCTTTTCTTTTTTTTGAGACAGAGATTCTTCTCTCGTTGCCCAGGCTGAAGTGCAATGGTGCAATCTCAGCTCACTGCAACCTCCACCTCACAGGTTCAACCGATTCTCCTGCCTCAGCCTCCCAAGTAGCTGGGATTACAGGCACCTGCCACCACATCCAGCTAATTTTTGTATTTTTAGTAGAGACTGGGTTTCACCGTGTTGGCCAGGCTGGTCTCAAACTCCTGACCTAAGGTGATCCACCCACCTCAGCCTCCCAAAGTGCTAGGATTACAGGCATGAGCCACCACACCCAGCCTAGTTTACCAATCTTTAGACAACAGATGCTTATAATGAATATACTGCTTAGTACTTATTTGGTATTTTAAATTAATATACTTACTTGAAAATATCCCAGAAGAGTTATTTTAAAGTTTTAAATATAAACTAAATTTTGAACTATAAATACTTACCTTAAAATACTAGAAATCCTAATACCATTAATTCAGTAAGAGCTCTGGCACAGAAAAATGTAACTACAAATCAAATTCTTTTTTAACCAGAGCTGGATCTTCATTACAAAGTAAGGGGGAAAAAATCCTCTGCTGTCATCAAAAAAGTTCCCCAAATTATCTGTAAACACCAAGGAATTCTATTAATCTTTCTCAATTCTCTCAATTTCTACATATTAATATCTATAGTGTTTTACTTCCAATATAGCACAAATCCATGCTACATATGTTGATTTCTGTTGCTTATCTGATTAATTCAAGTAAAAATTCTCAGTATTTACCAAGACACTTTAAATTTCTATTAGATAACCATTAGTATACTATTGATTTGTAGTTAAAAGTACAAAAATTAAAAAAGGCTAAAATGCAACTGCACAGTTTCCTTTCCACAGATGTAGCTGCTGCACTTTGTGTTACGATGTAAAATCTATTACTTTATCTTTCTTAATGAGAGAGATTATAAACATTTTCTTACCTGTCTGCCAATTAAAAATTTCTTCACAACTTTAAAGAGAGAACAAGTTCTTTCAGAACTTAAAAAAATTCATTATATACATACACACAAACATACATTCACACAGTGTTTTTGTTGCTGTAGTTCTCTTCTGTCTTGTAAGAACCAAAATTGAGTATTTCCAAGGATAAGTTAAATAAACTATTTGTGTTCAGACTATATTACTATGGATAAGTTCAGAAGAGCTTTTGAAATACTGGCCTTATTAGCTAATCAAAAAGCATAAAAATTATACAAAATAAGAGGAGCAAGACATCTCTTAAGGAAGGTAAAAATATGGAACTGGCAACAAATATATCTGTTTTAAATAAAAGCTTCTCATCAAACCTGTCTTCAGTCCAATTATCTCAATTCCACGCTTTGACAATATTCACCTTCTTTTCTAAGACATCAGAAGTCACCAGAGTTGTAAATTCTGAAAAGCTTCAATAACTTATGTAGCAGATAATTTCTTACAGTCCAAATTTTTTTTTGCTTCCATAGATAATGTTGGTTCTTTGGGTTCTTGCTTAACTGGGCTCACAGAAATCGTACTTTCTGGATTTTCTTCAACTTTAAAAACAAACAGAAAAGTCCTAAAAGTTAATATATTTCATGACACTGGGAGAGAGAGGAAAAATATTTTATATTCTAAAAATAACTCTGTGAAGACTTTTGTTCCTCAAAGCAAACTGCAAATCTTTTCCCACAAAAGTGCCCAATCCAGAATAATTTATGAGCAAAGAAGTGACAAAGTTAGATAAGGCAGGAGTTAAGGAGTTTACTTCTTTGTTGACAGGGATTAGTAATAAAGTGAATGTAAGAAGGTCTTGGACTAAACCTAAATGCCTAAGTCTTACTAGTTCCCTTTCAACTCAACATTTAGCTTATAATTCAAAATCTTTCTTTTGTCCAGGTGCAGTGGCTCACTCCTGTAATCCCAGCACTTTGAGAGGCTGAGGTGAGAGGACTGTTTGATCCCAGGAGTTTGAGACCAGCCTGGGCAACATAGTGAGGCCCTGTCTCTTAAAAAAAAAAAAATTTAAACAATTTTCCCAGTATGGTGGCGTGTGCCTGTGGTCCCAGCTACCTGAGAGGCTGAGGTGGGAAGACTGCTTGAATCAAGAAGCTCAAGGCTGCAATGACCCATGATTACATCATTGCACTCCAGCCTGGGTGACAATGAGACACTGTCTCAAAACAACAAAATATCAAAAATGAAAAATTTCCTTTTAGCCTTTATATATGCCTACTTCATTTCATTTTTCTTTGTGTATGTGTGCATACATCAATTCCTCCATAATTACCTTTGCCTGAAAATATTTTTCTTTAATTTTTTCCTATTAATTTTTTCATGTAGTCTAAAATGACCTTCCTGGTTTTATATTACCATAGATTTTTCCATGGAAAACAGGTAATTAGGGTATAAGTAATTTCTATGGCACTAAATAATTAGAAGCAAGGAGAAGGAAAACATTTAAGTATAAAAGTTCTGAAACTCATGTGAATGAAATTTCCTCCTTCTCTCTCATAATTTTGCTTCATTTATATAATATCTTAGACCCTAGGTAGAAATAATAGTTTTATCTATAGTATAATATAGTGATGATATTACAAAGGTTACAACAATAACATCATAAATTGATTTCAACTTACTAAGAGCTGAGTGGTTGTCTATAATCCGTATTGGAATAGTCTGCACATCTCCCAGCAGAATCTGATGAACAGTTCCTTCCAGATTCCCTGTATCCTCAACATCTCCAACGTCTACCAGCTGGTCCATTGCAACTAGATTTTGATCTGGTTCTGGAAGGTTACTCATGGTGGAGGCAGTACTATTGTTTTGGGTTAGGCATGTATCTCTTTGAAGGCTATGAGTTTGATCAAGCAGTAGAGAATTATTATTCATTACAGCACTTCCTATTGAATTCAGAAGTCCTGAAGGACTAGAGGATGGCTGGTTATTTACTGATACCAGAGCTGGTGATTCATCAGGAGAGGTGAACCTTGGTTGTAACTGCAAATCCTTTTAAACCAAAAAGAGTTACATCAAACTGTCTGAATTTACTATGTCTGATATTCTCATAGGATATACTATTCTTCTGACAAAAAATTGGAACAAATAAGAAGTATAGTTATAAATAAATATTAAATGAAGAAAGAAACAAGAATCAAGGGAAAAACAGTACAATTAAATTTATTGAATTCATAGCCAACCTTAAATTTTTAAAAAAAAATACTGTTTGCATTATCTTAAGTCAAGACACAAAAAAGTCAAGAAATTAACAATGAAAACATATTTGATCATTATTATAATCATTAATAATACTCTAAAATCCATAGGAGAAGAAGAGGTGAATTGAGGAATAAAGAGAAGGACCTCAAATTAGGATATTTTACTGGATACCTACCTGTAGCTGTGTAAATATTTTGGGCTGAAATGAGGACAGTGAGGAGAGCAAGTGGGTTGGCTCAGGAGACAAAGAACCCCCTGTCAGATTTGTTTCCATTTTGGTAGTAATTGATTCTTCTGGTGCATTTCCTAAATTATATTAAAAAAAACTATTAAAATAACTTTTATGGCTTCTATGAAGTCATAAAAATACTTTATTACAACCCTTTCTATCAGAACTAAAGTAGGAAATAATTTCAAAGTTTTGCAAAGGACTTCAGTAAGTCATCTAGCCCAAAGGTCCCTGACCTACCGGTCTGTGCCTTGTTAGGAACTATGCTGCACGGCAGGAGTAAGCAAGGGGCAAGCAAGCCTTATTTCCTGAGCCAGTCTTACTGTGTTAGCTCCACCTCCTGTTAGATCAGCAGAGGCATTAGATTCTGGGATCTAGGTTGCATGCTTCTTATGAGAATCTAATGCCTAATGATCTGAGGTGGAAGTTTCATTCTGAAACTATACCCCTTCTCTCCACCCTGGGTCGGTGGAAAAATTGTGTTCCACAAAACAGGTCCTTGATGCCAAGAAGACTGGGGACTGCTGATGTAGCCCACTATTTCCAGAACCTGGCAGATCATGAGGCTCTCTAAGGTATGTTTAAGAAAATATAGATTCCTAGGTTTAACCTCCGTTAATTTTAATTTGGTAGATCTAGGATGGGACTGTCCCTCCATATCCGTGGGAGGCTGGTTCCAGGACCCCCGTCAGAAATCAAAATCTGCAGATTCTCAGTTCCTGAAATAAAAGGGCATAGTAATGCATATAATCTAAGCATATCCTCCCACAAACTTTAAATCCTCTCTGGATTACCTATAATACACAATACAATGTGTATTATAAAAGTCCTCTGATATACTTTAAATCATCTCTAGATTATCTATAACAAGGAAAAAAAATATCTGTACATGTTTGGTACACATCCAATTAAAAATATATTTTTGATCAGTGGTTGGTTGAAGCCATGGATGCAGAACTCATAGATACAGAGGCAAAACTATGTATCTCTATATCTATCTATCTATCTATTTTTTTTTTCTTGAGACAGAGTCTCGCTCTGTCACCAGGTGCCAGGCTTGAGTGCAGTGGCACAACCTTGGCTCACTGCAACCTCCACCTCCCGGGTTCAAGCAATACTCAGCCTCCTGAGTAGCTGGGACTACAGGCGTGTGCTACCATGCCCAACTAGTTTTTGTATTTTTTTAGTAGAGACGGGGTTTCACCATGTTGGCCAGGATGGTCTCAATCTCTTGACCTCCACCCACCTCAGCCTCCCAAAGGGCTGGGACTACAGGCATGATATATATATATATATATATATATATATATATATATATATATATATTTTTTACCTTGAAAGACACAATATCTGTAACTCTAGTCCATCCTCCATATGGTAATGCTGGACTATACCTAAACTTCTCTAGATGTGTGAAATCTATGGCGCTTCTCAATTATAAACATCAAACTTAAATTCACCTTTTGTAGCCCTAGTAACTAGAACAGTACCTGGAAAAATTGGTCTTCAATGATAACAGCATTAAATTTCTTTCAATACCTCATTTTGGTATAAATTAATAAAAATAAAAACTCTGTTTTCTTAATAGCTCACATTTAAACTAATTGTAGGGAATCTGAATCATTCTCATGTAATTCTTATACATTAACCCAAATATATTCATCTCTTTAACTTAATGAAAAACTAGTTATTGGGTGGGTTAAGTGGCTCACGCTTGTAATCCCAGCACTTTGGCAGGCCAAGACAGGTGGATCACTGGAGGCCAGGAGTTTGAGACCAGCCTAGGCAACATGGTGAAACCTTGTCTCTAGTAAAAATATACAAATTAGCCAGCAGTGGTGGCATGTGTCTATAGTTCCAGCTACTTGGGGGACTAAGGTGGGAGGATCGCTGGAGCCCGGGAGGCAGAGGGCACAATGAGCAAGATCATGGCACTGCACTCAAGCATGAGTGACAGAGTAAAATCTTGTCTCAAAAAAGCAACAGAAACCCTAATTATCAATGAATATTTATTGCTTCCATAATACAAATGACTAATTTAAAAATGGCATAGTATCAGAAAAGAATGGATTTAAGCATTGGCTTTCTGTGTGACCTTCAATATGCTATATAACTCAGTTTCTATTTATTTTTGTAAGACAGTTTTGCTCTGTTGCCCAAGCTGGAGTGCAGTGGTGTGAACTCAGCTCATTGCATCCTCTGCCTCCTGGGTTCAAGTGATTATCCTGCCTCTGTCTCCTGAGTAGCTGGGACTACAGGCATATGACACCATGACCAGCTACTTTCTGTATTTTTAGTGGGGACAGGGTTTTACCATATTGACCAGGCTGGTCTTGAACTCCTGACCTCAGGTGATCCACCTGCCTCGGCCTCCCAAAGTGCTGGGATTAGAGGTGGGAGCCACGGTGCCCGTCCTATACCTCAATTTCTAAGCTTCAGCTTCTTCATCTGTAAAATCAGCATAAGAGTCCTTTCTCAATGGACCACTGAGAGGATTAAACAGCACTTACATGTTTCTTGGCTTCTTCACTATTAATGTCCTTTTACTTCACTGCTGTAGTCACCCACCACTATCATCATACTCTGGATGATCCGACCTCTAAAATCTCAAGTTCAAACATCTCATTCTCTGATCAAAATCGCTTATTCTTATATATTTTTTATTTTTATTCTTCTTTTGAGACAGAGTCTTGCTCTGTCATACAGGCTGGAGTGCAGTGGCACGATCTCAGCTCACTGCAACCTTCGCCTCCAGGGTTCAAGCGGTTCTCCTGCCTGAGTCTCCTGAGTAGCTGGGATTACATGTACATGCCACCACACCCAGGTAATTTTGTATTTTTAGTAGAGATGAGGTTTCACCATGTTGGCCAGGCTAATCTCAAATTCCTGACCTCAAATGATCTGCCTGCCTCGGCCTCCCAAAGTGCTGGGATTACGAGCATGAGCCACCGTACCCAGCTACAACCTCTTACTCTTCCAGAGATTTTGCTCCAGTACTTCACTACAATTATTCTTCAACCTCGTGGGAACCTCCAGTCAATTAATCCCTCAGTTTTCTTCAGATCCATCAACCTCTTTCTTAGTAAAATTCTTTCCCCATCTAGCTTACAGTCCTGGGTCTACAATTTCAGTCACTCTTTACAAGCACCTAAACTCTCGTCTGTCTGTCCTTGGGTCATATCCCTCCAGTAAAACTCTGACTCTGGATGAAAATGGCTTTCTGCATCAATACATGGGAAGCTGAGTGCCACTGAAAAAGAAACTCACCTATTATCACTAATACCAATTCGCTATTAACTCTGATTGGAGCTTCACCTGTATCTAACAATGTTTCACTCCCTATTCGGGATAATTTTTATTTTGCATTTCCCTCAAATCTATGGCACCCTTCTTGAAGCCATTCTTTATCCTTAGCACTCTTATTTAAAGAGAAAAGGGAAGCCAACAGAAGTTTCTTCAACTTCCCATCACCATCTTCATCTATCTTTTCAGTTCTCTACTGTCTGAAAATATCTTTCCTCAACCCTATTCTCCATTGCAAAACTCCTGAAAAAGTGATGCAGGAGTCCCTACTCCTTCACTCATCTCCCATTCACCCTTCAATCACCCTAATATGGCTTCCTCCCAATCCACTCCATTGAAATGGCTTTGATACTCAACTTTACAAACCTATTTAGTCCTTTCTTCTCTCTCCTGCCCTACCAATGCTCTCTTCTTTTGCCAGTGATGCTGAGCTCAGTAAATGCTATCAGTCAGTTGCTCATTATAGAAATTCAAAGGTTTGGCCAGGCATAGTGGCTCACACCTATAATTCCAGCATTTTGGGAGGCCAAGGTGAGTGGATCACCTGGGGTCAGGAGTTTGAGATTAGCCTGGCCAGCATGACGAAACCCTGTCTCTAGCAAAAATACAAAATTTAGCCAGGTATGGTGGTGTGCACCTGTAATCTCAGCTACTTGGGAGGCTGAGGCAGGAGAACCATTTGAACCCAGAGGCAAGTGTTATAGTGATCTGAGATCATGCCACTGCACGATCTAGCCTAGGTGATGGAGCGAGACTCCATCTCAAAAACAAAAAAATAAATTCAGAGGTTTAACTTTATACAGGGGATGAAGTTAAGAATGTACTTAAAAGAGACTACAATTTGAGTACTAAGAGGATTTTGCCATGCAGAAGAGAAGAGACATTTCCAGAAAAGAGAACACATGCAAAAGGGTAGAAATAAGTTTAGAATATTGAAAGGGCACACCAGTAAGAACACATGAGAAAAAGCAACCATAAAATGGACCATAGTTCCCAGATCAGGGCATCCTAGAGTTCTTACTACTGGAATTAGCCAGACTCATAATGAATTAGCTACAGTTAACTATGCTAGTTATCAGCTTCAAAATTTCAGTCATAAAAAAGAATTAAAAGCAAAGTATAAGAGGAAATTTAAATAGCAAGAAGTATGTTGATAAACCCTAACATAGCTGCTCCTACCTCTTTGGGTCCTGGTTTCCTTATCTATAAAATTTGATTAGATAAGATAATATCTTAAGTTCCTTTCAGTTAAACACTGTTTGAATTTATATTTTAAAGGTATTCAAGTAAACCTACCTTCTGCAAATGTAACTGTCACGGTCTCTTTGAGAATATTCCCACTGTCTGTAGTCCACTGAAGCTGAAATGGGAATACTAATTTCAGTAAACATAAAGCTCTTATATTGAAAAATATCTTAAGACATCATTACAACTATCACATTTTATTCACAGTATGTGATTTATTCTGCAACTACTCTCTTCACTTGTTCACATTCTCCAAGCACAAGTATACTTTACTATACAAATACACTAAATTCCTGAGTTCTGATAACAAAAATTTGGACAGCAAGTGTAGATGACAAGGACTACTTCTAACATTTGATACGTAAGAGTTATGGGGTTGTGGACAGTGGCTCACGCCCATAAGGCTTGGAAAGCCAAGGCTGAAGAAGTGCTTGAGGCCAGGAGTTTGAGACTAGGCTGGGCAACAAAGTGGGACTCTGTATCTACAAAAAATTTAAAAATTAGCTGGCTGTGATAGCTGGTGCCTGTAGTCCCAGTTACAGGAGTCTGAGGTGGGAGGACTGCTTGAGTCTGGGAGGTCATGGATGCAGTGAGCTGTGATTGTGCCACTGCACTCTACCTGGGCGACAGAGTGAAACTCTATCTCAACAAAAAAAGAAAAAAGACCAAGTAGAGAGTTGTAGATTGCAAGAAATAGTTCTAGCTTTTGAAATATCCTTATTTATTCAGATACTACATTTGGATAACAGAAGTTAAAGAGCAAAAGACATTGCACCTCAGATTTTAATACCATAATCACTGCCTGTATTGTAATTAGTCATTTCTGGGTAATTATAGTAATCTCTTCAGAGTAGGCAAAATTTTCATAGAAATGATTAATATTCAGGGAGAAACTACCATATCAAACTATGAGTTAAGGCCAGGCACAGTGGCTCACATCTGTAATCCCAGCACTCTAGGAGGCCAAGGAGGGCAGATCATGTGAGGTCAGGAGTTCAAGCCTGGCCAACATGGTGAATCCCACCTGGCTAGCAAGGTGAAACCTGCCTGTTCACCAGCCTGGCCAACATGGTGAAACCCGCCTCTACTAAAAATACAAAACATTAGTTGGGCGTGGTGGCTCAGGCCTGTAATCCCAGCTACTTGGGAGGCTGAGGCAGGAGAATCGCTTAAACGTGGGAGATAGAGGTTGCAGTGAGCCGGGATCATGCCACTGCACTCCAGCCTGAGTGACAGAGACAGACTCCGTCTCAAAAAAAAAAAGCGAGTTAAACTGATATCCACAGATGGTATACGAAACCAACATTATCACTTTGGGTAATCAGGTATGAACAACTGCATTTATTTTTTTGAGAAGGAATTTCGCTCTTGTTACTTAGGCTGGAGTGCAATGGCATAATCTCGGCTCATTGCAATCTCTGCCTCCTGGGTTCAAGTGCTTCTCCTGCCTCAGCCTCCCGAGTAGCTAGAATTACAGGTGCCCACCACCACACCTGGTTAACTTTTGTATTTTTAGTAGAGATGGGGTTTCACTGTGTTGGCCAGGCTGGTTTCAAACTCCTGACCTCAGGTGATCCACCCGTCTTGGCCTCCCAAAGTGCTGGGATTACAAGTGTGAGCCACCACACCTGGCCTATTTAGTTTTTCATATTGCAGTTATTCAGATGGCCTGATAGTAGCCATTCTTATTAAACTAAATATTATTAGAAGCTGATAAAGACTCTGTAATAAAATAAGGAATTATGGTTGTAATCATACCGTTGCTGGAATAATCTCTGAGTTATATACCATATCTCCATTTCGCAAGGATTTCTGTACCTCATGGATGTGATTTTTTATATCATTTACAGTTGGAAAAAAAGATAAGTTATGTCTTTCAGGTACCTCATCAGGTTTGAACAGTTCCCTTTCCACAAATTTTCTGTAAAGAATATAAAATGGAATAAAGATATAAACCATTTAGCAATACGCCTTTAGATCAAAAGAGAGAAAGGCTCTCTTTTAGTATAAACTCTTATAAAGTATGGTTTGGAGTTCTGTAAAAAATTTGTATTTTCCTACTTAAAATTTTTCCATACATTACATCATAGAATTAATGTAGGCTATAGAAATGCAATATTTTCATTGGTAAAACAACTAATATATTAGAGTGAGCTTTGATATTTTTGTGGATTTAAATAAACCCATTATTTTCAGTTTAAGTATAATAATGTTTTTCATGCTTACTATATCAGGCACTGTATGGAACACGTCACATCAAATATCTCCTTTAACCCTTAATGATCAATGACATAGGTACAATTATCATTCCCACTTTACAGATGACAGAACTGAGGGCTGTAGAAGTAAAATAATTTGCCCAAAATCATACACCTACCTAGTAAATAAGAGAGCTTGGGCCTATACTCAGGTTATGTGTATAAACATCATGTTATATTGTTTCCAAAAGCATCAATTAATATTACATGAAATATGATGGGCTTGAATTTCACATGAAGACAAAGACATAAATAGAAGGCAGCACTGTTATTGAATTGTATAAAAAATAAATATACAAAAGAAATGATAACATAACATATATATGCTTATTATATTTGGTGGACCAAATAGCAGAGTTGTATTATACTTCTCTTCTTAAGATTCAGGTTTAGTAATAGTGAATGGCTTTTCCAAATTTTTCCCTTATGCTAATGATGCCCCCGTGGAAATAAATATAAAATGTGTAAGAAAACTGCTAAATAGATAACTCATGTATTAGGAAATAATTCTAGGAATTATAGTAAGTTCTCAGTTAACATCATTGATAGGTTCCTGGAAACTGAGACCTTAAGCGAAAGGACTTAAAACAAAACCAAATTGTTTTTTCCAATGCTATAACAAAACAACACTGAACCAGGTGCAGTGGCTTGCTCCTGGAATCCCAGCTATTTGGGAGGATCACTTGAGATCAGGACTTCAAGACTAGCCTGGGCAACATAGCAAGACCCCTGTCTCTTTTACAGAAAAAGTAAAAAGAAAAAAAAAAAAACAGAAAAGAAAAGGCATTGAACAGAATGATTAATTACTCAAGGACTTGCTGTATTTCTTTTCATTTAAAGTAGCAGTTTTCAAGAACCTATTGATGACTTTAAGAGAGGACTTACTATATTCAATTTGTTATTGAGATCAGATTACACAATAATCAGTAAGAGCAAGGCTAAGTATCATAAATCACCATGGCAATAGGCATAGGCTATAGAGTTAGGCCTAAATTTAAGTTCTGCCACTCCCTCGTAAGCCAATTATGTAACCACTCTGAGACTCCAGTTTCTCATGTGTAGAATTGAGATAAATATACCAACTCATAGTGGTACTGTAAGACTAAATGAGATCACACATGTAAAAAGCCTAGCACAGTACCTGGCACTCACATAATGAATAATTATATAATTACTTATGTAATTATTGTTTCCTGAGGATCAAAAAACATAGACCAGAGTACTACAAATAAAATTTCACTAGACAAAGAACTATCCAAATTCTTGTGTTCTAATAAAATTTAACTGCATTTCAAATAGTCTGAAATACATATCTTGGTCTAGGTTTTAAAATCTTTGGTTCTACAAAGGTTTTTTTCTTTAAAAAAAGTATTTATTAAATAATTCAATATATACATCATTTAGAAATAGTCCAATTTGCCAAATCTGAATATAGAATATATCAAATGAGTAATTAGAAAGATAATAAACCATATTACACTATTGTTTGCCAAGCATATACTAGAAACCAGTTTATAAATGATTTTAATAAATTAATAAACTATATTCCTTATCTACCCTGAGAGCATATATTTTGGAAAATATCTCCAATGTTCACTGTATTATTTAAAGCAACAAGCAAAACTAAAAAATGTAAAAGAACGATGTGCTTCTGTTGTACCTTAGCTGTTTCCTTACTGCATATACTTGTTCTATTCCCTGTGATACTAATTCTTGAATCTTATGTGCTACTTGAGGATGTAAACGTGAGGGTAATGCACAATTCTCATCTCTAACTGCAGTTTCCTCTTCTTCAAGAGCAGACACAGGAAAAGGAGAAGGTGACAAAGGGAGGCAGGGAGTCTCTAATTCATGATACTGATGAGCTTGCTGTGTGGGTAACTGTACATACCACCTGATAAAAGAAAATATTTAAAATTACTAAAATTTAAACACTAAAATTATTTAATATTATTAAACCAAGGTAGGAATCATAATTACTTAGGTTAATACTCATAAAAAGTACTAATCCTTTAAGAAAATTATATGTGATTATTTCATATCAAATAAAATTTAAAATGATCTCTGCTTAACTCTTCTAAGTTCTGCTTTATCCAATTAAATTAAAATCTTTGTAAATATTTATGGACTTTCACTGTGGCCTGACAGTTGAGCTCCCTACAGGGATTTTAAGTATATATGAAAATGGCATTTTAAGTTTGATATTGTCATGTTTTAGGTTCATGAGAAAAAAATTCATATTAGGTAAATTTTACCTCAAAATAAAAAGAAGACATTGTAAATCACTATCTTTTGAACTGTGTATTTTCTCATTCATCAAACATTTATCCCAAATTACAATTCTCTATTACACCTACCATCCTTCCAACCAAAGAGTGTATATAATTTACAATAGAACCTGTCAAGATTGAGGTTTATGGTAGATTCTTCCCTCATAGGAGCTCAACAGGCTGCTTCTACAGCACTCCCAGCTCCTGTTGGCCAAGTAAGCAAAGCAATTAACTAAAGGTGAATGAAGATCTCTTGGAGAGTCATATAAAAAAAAAATAGACGGTAGAAAAACGAACTAATCTGGTAGGATACTGTTTTAATTGATATTTCTGTATAAAATTCTTACAATGACTGATATTGCCTACTTAAAAAGTATACGCAATTGTCGGGTGCAGTGGCTCATGTCTGTAATCCCAGTACTTTGGAAGGCCGAGGTGGGCAGATCACCTGAGGTTGGTCAAGAGCAGCCTGACCAACATGGAGAAACCCCACCCATCTCTACTAAAAATACAAAATTAGCTGGGTGCAGTGGTGCTTGCCTGTAATCCCAGCTACTTGGGAGGCTGAGGCAGGAGAATCATTTGAACCCAGGAGGTGGAGGTTACAGTGAGCAGAGATCACGCCATGGCACTCCAGCCTGGGCAACAAGAGAGAAACTCCGTCTCAAAAAAAAAAATTATACGAAATGTTCTTCAAACTGAAAGATCTAATTTTTTTTAGTGATATATTTGACTTTTATTGAAGGTTTTAATTATTGGCTCAATTTATTTTTTACACACCTAAAAGTTTTTTTAAAGATCACACAAAAACTATGTATCATACACTTAAATCCATTATACAATAATAAATTATTCACCTGGACTAACACAAAAGGAAGTATAAAAGAATGTTAATATTTCTTATTTAAAACCTAAAGCATAAAAAAAATGGAATTTTATTTAGGGCTTAGAATTCATTTCTGGCTGCCATAAGTAATCAAAGATGAGTTTAAAAAAATGAGATGGCTGCAGTTTCTGCTCACAGTATCTAAATCAAAGTACTAAATATACAATAAAATGTACTAAATATGTCTTTGCCATTTTGAAAAAAAGCTTTCACATGGTATATAGTATATAGAGTATATGTTATACAGTATGGTATAATTCTTTGGTCTGAATTATCTACAACTTGCGGCTGAGAAACTCATGGCTTATACAGTGGCAAATCAATTTAATATTTAGGGAACTATTGATATCTCTACCTTACAAAACCATTATTTAATAAAATAATTGGAAAAGTATAATTTCCATTACAAAAGAATTCTTGGAAATTGAGCTAATTAATTTGTAAAATAAAAGAATTATATAAATGTCATACCTAAGAACACCACCAGCATCTACCATGTTCTTCTTTAGCATGTTAAAGGCTTTCTCCTGCTCCATTCTGATAATTTTCTTGTCAATTTTGGGGTCTGTAGGAACTCTATATTCAGGAAACTTCTGTACCTTTTTAATGTAAATCCTTTATACAAGATAAAGAAGAATTTGTTTCATTATATTACAATCTCAAGAAAAATCTATCTTATCAACAAGAAGTCTTAAGCTTAGAGAAGATTCAACTTATCTGGAAAGTATTCAGAGGCTTATGTAAAATATATGGCACATTCTCAGTTGCATTAACACTTAGCAAATTAAAAGTAAACATGATTTGAGTAAAAATATCTAAGTACTTACAGATTTTACCATTTTCTTCCCCCTAGATTTGCCCCTTCTCTTCATTCTCCCAGAAGCCAAAATCATCTCACTCCTGGATTACTTTAATAGCCTCCTTCCAGGCCTGTGCCTCCAATCTTTCATTACTTAAATCCACTCAGTAATTCAATGTCACAATAATTCTTCGCATTTTTATTCCTCTGTTGAAGAATCTACCTGCTCTTTAATTAAGTACAAATTTCTTGGCAGCATTCAAGGCATTACATATGATTCTAATTTATTTATCTCATCTTCCTTTATATTACTTAAAATATAAAATTTCTTTTCCTGTAAAGTTCATCTTCTCAATGTTCCTCTCAATATTTCTTCTCAATGTTTCTAATGTAATACCAACCAGGTTAATTCTTCTATAATTTTTTTTTTTTTGAGACAGAGTCTCACTCTGTCACCTAGACTAAAGTGCAATGGTACAATCTCGTCTCACTGCAACCTCTGCCTCCCAGATTCAAGTGATTCTCCTGCCTCAACCTCCCAAGTAGCTGGGATTACAGGCATATGCTACCATACCTGACTAATTTTTTTTTGTATTTTTAGTAGAGACGAGATTTCACTATGTTGGTCAGGCTGGTCTCGAACTCCTGACTTCAAGTGATCCGCCATCCTCAGCCTCCCAAAGTGCTGGGATTATAGGCATAAGCCACTGTGCCCAGCCTCTGTAGCTTTATTTAAATGGTCCTCCTAACCTACAATATCGTCTCTCTAACTCTCTACCCACCCAAATTCAATTTAAACTCCAACATCCACTTTAAATTGTACTTTCTTTACTGCCATGAATTTGTATGAATATATTCCCTCTTTAAAAACCTAAATAGGTAGTTTAATAATGTATTTCACACCATATTCTATACTATCATGTTGTCTACTAGTTTTTGTTTCCTGATCCATTCTCTGGGATTAAGTAAAATTTAATTCCTCTTTTGGTTTCCTTCCTTCCTACGGCACCCAACTGTAGTTTCTGGGCACAGAGTAGATACTCAAAAAGTATTTGCAGAATAATGGAAAATAAAATTATTTCTTTATATATAGAGGTTTTCTCCCAAGTTATACCTAAAGTTTTTATATTGCTTATATTTAAGAAGCAACTGACAAGTTTCAAATGGAAAAAAAAAGCAACTGAAAGTTTGTTTCAGAGTCAGGTTTAAATATTACCTAAAGTTAATATTACAGGATTAAATATGATAAGCCTTGTAAATGGGTTTGTAAAAAAACTTCTTGAGAGTGCTGAGGTATTTATAACATGAGATGTGATCCTAAAAGTGTTTCAAAGACCAACTAAGTCCAACCACTACATACTACCTTTTAAATTTTTTATTTTACCTAATAGTTTAAAACACTTTCAATATATTTTAAAAGTCTTAAAATACTTTCAATGTCTAAAAAATTTAAGGATATTATAAAATCTTTCATTGGTTCACATTTTTCATTTTTACTCAGAGCAATGACTACTCTGTAGTCCTATCTAAAACTTACTATGTTGGTCTGATAATCTGCTGGTAAATTGATAAAATCACTCTAAAAAGCAACTATGCAATACTTGTCAACATTTTTAAAAGACACAGCCTTTACCCTAGCAATTTCACTTCCCGGAATTTTTCCTACTGAAACATTTGTAGGAGTGCACAAATATGTACAATGTTAATAACTGCAGCTTTGTATAACACTAATAAAGAATACTTTTCACAGCTATGTGAATTAAATAATTAATCCATAAATGGAATATTCTATGGCTATTAAAAACAGTTCTTTTATGTACATATACGGAGTCAGCTTTGAGATACTGAAAATGAAAAAAAAGCAAAGTGTAAGTCATTACATTCACACTAGTATGTAGCATAATAGGTATTCAGATTGAGAATCTATGTGAATTCATATCAAGAAAAAAGGTACACTATTATCTAAGTTTAAGGAAAGAAAATATTAGTGAGCTTTACAGATTTACAACAACACTGACGGGGTAGAGGAGGAGATCTCTATCTCTCTGCCATTATATGCATCCATATACACAGAATATCTTTGAAAGATGACTCAAAAAACTAGTTAAGAGTTGTTGCTTTAAAGACACAACAAAAGGGGTAAGAGAAAACTTAGAATTCACTGTATACTTTTTGATAATGTATAAACCTAATAAAAATATCTGTATTAGCTATTCAAAAATAAGTACTTAATAAAAAACAAACAAAAGAAAATAAAGCTTACCGAGCTGGACAAGTGGCTTTGTAGAGCTGACAAGACCTGCTTTCCTGCTCACTGATTTTTTTTAACTGGAAACCTTTTCTTCTTGGCCCATACTGACACTCCATTACCACAGCTCTACTCCCTGTGGGCCAAAACCAACTATTGATATTAATTCAAGTGTCCATCTATTCTAGACACTAGATTAAAAGTAACTTGGTGGTGGCAATGTCAAAATCTTTCAAGTATACAGCTTTAAGGAAAGAAAACATTAATAAGTCTTTTTAAGATGTACAAACATAAAAGTTTATTTAAAAATTTACCAAATGTACCATAATTATGGTAAGAAAATTCGTGAATATCACATTTACTGAATGTCTACTGGCATATAATTTTTTTTTTTTTTTGAGATGGAGTCTCACTCTGTCACCCAGGCTGGAGTGCAGTGGCACAATCTCAGCTCACTGCAACCTCCACCTTCTGGGTTCAAGCGATTCTCCTGCCTCAGCCTCCTGAGTAGCTGGGACTACAGGTGTGCGCCACCATGCCAGGCTAATTTTTCTATTTTTAGTAGAGATGGAGTGTTGCCATGTTGGCCAGGCTGGTTTTGAACTCCTGACCTCAAGTGATCCACCTGTGTTAGCCTCCCAAAGGGCTGCGATTAGACACATAAGCCACTGCGCCCTGCCTGACGTGGTTTTTATACCATTTTATAAATAGTGAGTAAATGTTACATTTAGTTAATAAATATTAATATCATTTAAATTTTCTTTCCTTTTATAATTATTTTCTTATTTTTATTTGGGCTGTTAATATAGCAGCCAGCCCTAAGATGGCCTCCAGTAATCCATGCCTTCTAGTATTCAGGTCCTTGAGTAATCCCCTCCCCTTGAACATGGGCTAGACTTATTAACTTACATCTAATAAATATGGCAGAAGTGATAGGAAGTTATTTTTGTTATTAGGTTATAAAAAGACTGTAACTTCCATTTGGGTACTCTCTCTTGCCCTTTCTTGAATTTCTCTCTTTGGGTGTAATCAGCTGCCATGTGGTAAGGGAGCTCTGTGGAAAGGCCCACATGACAAGGAATAAGGCCTGCTGACAGCCAAAAGAGTGAATCTGAAAGCAGACCCTCCCTCAGTCAAGTCATGAGATGACTGCAGCTTCAGCCAACACCTTAGTAGCAGTCTTGTGAGAGAACCTGAGGCAGAACCACTTTGCTAAGTCACTCTTGGATTCCTGATCCACAGAAACTGTGAGATAATAAATGTTTGTTATTTTCAGCCACCAAGTTTGGAATAATTTGTTACACAGCAATAGTTAATACAAATAAGTAGATGTGAAAATTAAGATTTTAAGTTTAATATCCTATGCTACTCTAGGATACAACAAACTTAAAATATAAAATAAAAACAATTACTAATAAAAATGTTAAGCTGACATTAAAATATAAAAACTTTTGTTTAAAAGACACCATAAGTAAATATAAAAGAAATATTTTGAGAAATAGCATTGTATAACATATATAACATAGTAAGTCCCCATGTAGAATTACTCTACAGACTACAAACAATCATAAATAATTAATAAACGACCATTCAGAAAAACGGGCAAAGGCTATGAATAACCTAGTTGGAATAAAAAAAAGCAAATGAATAAATAAAAAGATGTTCAACTTTACTAGTAAACAGGGAAATGCAAATTAAAACAATAGTAAAATACTATCTCATGCTCCTCAGACTGGCAAAAATAAAAATATTTGACAATACCCTAAAACAACTGAATCCACTGATCAATCTGAACACCACAAAGAGACACACAGATGGCAATAAGTACACAGCACACCTAGGAGGTATTCTTGAAAAAAATCAAATCTGCATTTAATCAAAGCTCTAGAACTCTTTACACAAAATAAAGGAGATAAAAAACAAAAACTACATTACACAGATGGAATCGGCAAAACCCAAAATATGACAAATATTATAGAACAAACTACCTAGAGGAAAAGAGGAGAGAAATATCCAAATAAAAAGAAGTTTAAGAGATTCATTAACTGAATGCAAGCTGTGGAACCTGTTGGATTTGAATTTGAACAAACTTTAAAGGGGGAAACTGTCAGATAAGTGGGAAAATGTAAAACACTGAACATTTTATAACATTAAAAAGTTACTGTTAATTATCTTATTAAGTGTGATAATAAAATTGTCATATATATATGTTTGTGTATGTATATACACATATACGCATACACACATATAAGGAGTCCTTATCTTTTAGAGATATATACTTTAGTATATACCATATACTTTAGTAATTACAGATGGAATGATATCTGAAAACATGCTATAAAATCATCTAGGGAATGAGGAAGGGAAGGTGTATGAGACAAGACTGACCATATACTGATAGTTGTTGAAGCTGGAAGATAGATACTGGGAGTCATGGGGTTTCTTATATTATTATCTCCACTTTGATTGACATGTAAAAATTTCCATAAGGTAAAGATTTTTTACGGCTAGGCACAGTGGCTCACGCCTGTAACACCAGCACTTTGGGAGGCTAAGGTGGGCAAACTACTGTAGAGTTTAGGAGTTCGAGACCAGCCTGGACAACATTGCAAAACCCCATCTCTACAAAAAAACACAAAAATTAGCTGAGTATGGTGGCACATGCCTGTAGTCCCAGCTACTCAGGAGGCTGAGGCAGGAGGATCTCTTGAGCTAAGGAGGTTGAGACTGCAGTGAGCTGAGATTGCACCACTGTATTCCAGACTAGGTGACACAGTGAGTCACCCGCCTCAAAAAAAAAAAAAGAAAGAAAGAAAGAAAAGAAAAAACATTTTTAAACATCTGGCAATGCTAAGTCATGAAGTAAATGTGGAGAAATAAAATTTTCACATACTGCTGACAGGAGTGAATTGGTACAAATGGTCAAGCCCTTATGTACAAATCTGAAATCCAAAAAGCTCAGAGAACATTTTTTGGGGACTCATTTGGCTGTAACACCAGGCCTGAGCTGTGTGAGGCTATTTATAGTCTTTATTTATTCCTCTTGGTCCTCTTTATTTATTCCTCTTAGTCTTACGGACTAGTACCAGTCCATTGCCTGTTAGGAACCAGGCCACACAGCAGGAGATGAGCAGTGGGCAAACCAGCAAAGCTTCATCTGTATTTACAGCTGCTCCCCATCACTTGCATTACCTCCTGAGCCCTGCCTCCTGTCAGATTAGTGGCAGCATTAGATTCTCATATAAGCAAGAACCCTATTATGAACTGCCCATGCACAGGATCTAGGTTGCTATGAGAATCGAATAGGGAATCATCTAGGGAATGAGGAGAATCTAATGCATATGAGAATCTAATGCCTGATGATCTGTCACTGTCTCTAATCACCTCCAGCTGGGACCAGCTAGTTGCAGGAAAACAAGCTCAGGGATCCCACTGACTCTACATTCTAGTGAGTTGTATAATTATTTCATTACATATTACAATGTAGTAATAATAGAAATAAAGTATATTATAAATGTAATGTGCTTGACTCATCCCAAAACCATCCCCCAGCCCCCAACCCAGTCGTGGAAAAACTGTCTTCCACATAACCAGTCCCTGGTGCCAAAAAGATTAGGGACTGCTGTTCTATAGAATACCTGCTAGGAGTATTCCATAATATTACCACATTACATTTAAAAAATCAGAATTTTGAAATACACCTGGTTCAAAAAAATTTTCAAAGGGATTCTGGACCTGTACAATCACTTTAGAGTGCAATTTTAAGATAATCTTGGAAAGACGAAATGGGCATAATTCACAACTAGCAATTCTACTTTAAGGCATATACTCTAGAAAAACTAATCACAGCTTTTCATTAGAGTATGTATACAGTGGAAGTTTGATACAGCATTCTTTGTAATAATGAAAAGTTGTAAACAACCTAAATGATGATCAATAGAAAAATAATTTGATCACACACTGGAATATTATACAATAATTAAATAGGATTAACTAGGATTTATAAATATCAATACCAACAGATGTAAAAAAGAATAAGGACGAGTAAAAAAATTTGCAAAACAAGACCTACACGTTACTATTTATGCATTTTTTAAAAATCCAAAACAATAAAATACATTATTATAGATACAAATATGTAAGGTAAAGTATAAAAATACAGACTAGAAAGATACACCAAAAATTCATGTAGTAGCTACCTATGGAATGTTAAGGAGATTAGACCTAGGATGGGAAAAAGGAAGGCTACAGGATTTCAAGTTTATTTTTTTAATTTATTAATTCCTTTTTTTAAGACACAGGGTCTTACTCTGTCACCCAGGCTGGAGTGCAGTGGCATGACCACGGTTCACTGGGGCCTCAACCTCCAAGGGTCAAGTGATCCTTCCACCTCAGCCTCCCAAATAGCTGGGACCTCAGGCCCATGCTTCCATGTCCAGTTAATTTATTATTTTTTTGTAAACATTGGGGTCTCCCTATTTTGCCCAGGTAGGTCTCAAACTCCTGGGCTCAAGCAATCCTCTTGCCTTGGCCTCCTAAAGTGCTGGGATTACAGGCGTGAGCCACCAAGTTTAAAAAAAACAAACAAACAAACCCAGCTCATTTATTTTTAATGTCGTATTTCTTTTATAGACTACTGATGAAACTTGGGCAGAAGGGGTTACATTTATGTCATCTTCTCTTAAGTATTTATTTCTCATTAAACCTCAGAGGTCCAGGATGAAACTGCAACTCTTTCACCTAATTTGGTGCCCCCATAATCCTAAAATAAATTGCTTAGTTTTAGATTATTTGGGACTCTAGTTTAAGAGGGTTGCTTGAAACTCTACTCCCTTAGTAAGCACTAACCCAGTGTCTAAGAATGCTGTACATAACACACCTAAAGCTTGAGAACTTTAGTATCAGAATTCTATAATAACTCCAGATTGTATACAAATTCTATACAGTCAACTTCAGAGTTACAAGCTACATAAAATAGACACAAATTTCTCCTACAATATAATTTAAGAAAGAGGCTAAAATATTTAAATTGAAGGGGAAAAAACACAACTGATGTACATATTTAAAATAAAATTGCTCTTTTAATATTTTATTAATAGGTTTAACTACAATTTCAATATTTTATTTTTATTTTATTTTTCAGTATATCAAAAAAGTCTTATTTATTCACTGATATATTAAAATGCAATATTTAATTATATTTACTATAAGTTTTTTTTTAGTTTCATATACATTTTAATCAATTAGCATTCATCTGTCAGCTACCAAAATAAAAATGTATCACCTTAGAAAAATCACATTTTCAAAATGGACTATGGCTGCTGCTGAACCTTTTAAAATAATTCTTTAAAAAAGTACCTGCATTAACAAACGGGATTCCATCATATGGGACATACTGGGATTTCCACATCAAGCGTGTAGCAGGCTTGGCTGGGCTTGGAGACTGACGAGTTCCCCAAACACTCTGTGTTTGCTGCTTGTGAAAGGTTAGGACACTTTCTAATTCAGTCTCACTTACACAGTAGCCACGGTATGAATCTCCAATTTTCTGCATGTGGTAGAAATTAAACAAAATTACTAGCAAATACACTTCATTGCATAATAAATGTAATGAGATGTCTGTTTCAGATGGAAGACTCATCACCTTTCACAAGACAGTATCATTTGTTCCCTCAGATCAATGGTCTATTACAACCACTGGGTCTGATTTGAATTCAACCAGTATCATCAAATAGATATTTTGTAGGTATTTGTTGGGGAATATAATGCCAAACTCATTGCCATACTAGCTTTATCAACTTCTTGTTTGAGAGAAAGAATAGTTAGAAAAGATAACTTACAAGAACATATAATGTGTATCCATTATTTCTGATACTTAAAACTCTATCCTGGATCAAACCAGACCAGCATAAAACTAGCCACAAACTGCTCATTCCCTGTGGGGCTTCCGTTAATAAAATGGATTTTTTTTTTTTGGTGGAGTTGGGTGGGAAGGAGAAAGGAAAGAGGAAGGTAATAAGGAAGGAGGGAGGTAAAGATGGAAAAAAGGAAAGAAGGAAGAGGAAGAAAATGCAGGCAGTAGGAAGGAAGGAAGCCCTGAGATTAATTTTGATAGGATGCCATGCATCTATAAGAAACCGAATGAAAATTGTGATTGATTGACAAAAATGCTATAGAAGAATTTGCTCATTATATCAACATTTTTCTTATAAAGATCCTTCTTTGAGGCCAGGAGTGGTGGCTCACACCTGTAATCCCAGCACTGTGGGAGGCTGAGGCGGGCAGATCACCTGAGGTCAGGAGTTTGAGACCAGCATGGCCAATATAGCAAAACCCATCTCTACTAAAAATATAAAAATTAGCTGGGTGTGGTGGCACTCGCCTGCAGTCTCAGCTACCTGGGAGGCGAAGGCACGAGAACCCCCTGAACCTGGAAGGCAGAGGTTGCAGTGAGCTGAGATTGTGCCACTTACTCCAGCCTGGGCAACAGAGCAAGGCATTGTCTAAATGTCTTTTTTTAAAAAAAAAAAAAGATCCTTCTCTGAGAGAAATTTGTCTGGTCTTAGTACCAAAGATAATTAATGGTTTGCTTATGTATTATGAACATTAGTATAATTTTTAAATCTAACAGGCACAGAATTAGTAACTATATTTCCCCTTTTGAAAAGCAGATACCTAGATTACAGACAAGTATATGTATACATACACACACAGTTGGTTAAGACATGTATTTTTTTAAAACTTCTGTTTTATGTTCCCATTCTTGTCTTTATTGTTTAGCTCCCACTTTTAATTTCTACCTTGCTAATATATTTTACATATTTTGTAAGTTTTCTTAAATTCTTTCTGAAACAAGGAAAGGCATAAATAATGTAAATAAATTGTTATTATCTACACACAACGATTTGAGTATCCCTGTACTAGAGGAGAAACTTTTCCTTTTTTCTTTTTTTTTTGGTAAGAAGTTTCACTCATTGCCCAGGCTGGAGTGCAATGACACAATCTCAGCTTACTGCAACCTCCACCTCCAGGGTTCAAACAATTCTTATGCCTCAGCCTCCTGAGTAGCTGGGATTATAGCCACCATGCTTGGTGAATTTTTATATTTTTAGTAGAGATGGGGTTTTGCCATGTTGACCAGGCTGGTCTTGAACTACTGACCTCAGGTGATCCGCCTGCCATGGCCTCCCAAAGCGCTGGGATTACAGGTGTGAGCCACCACATCTGACCAAGGAGAAACTTTTTCTATACCAACAGAATATATGTTAACTGTGGTCTCTTACAATGAAATGCATAGACCTAGAATTGATTCCATGTATGTTTCCCCCTTAGAGGAAATAAGAAGAGAGATGTGGGCAGAGAAGTCTTGTTCTTCCTCATTAGACTATATATTTTACTTTGGAAGGATACATTTAACAAATAAAGGTATCAAATACTGTTGTGGCTGTACTTTTGGTCATAAGAGTTAAGAGGTAATCTGATGCCAAACAATACATTATCTGAAGTTTCCTCTAAAAATAACGAAAATGCTTATGTTTATATTTTCTGCTAGCCTAGACAACTCCCTATCAAAATATTCACTACAAATAAATGAATATAAATTTTAGCTCTAACACTATAATTTATTTATAAATAGAAGTAATAGAATATATGTCAATAAATAAAAAAATCAGAATAATATAATCAGAGCCATAAATACTTATAAACAGGCTAAACATAAAATTTTAGTACAGTATTGAAATTTGTCCAGTTAATATATTTTTGGTCAAATCAAACATCATTAAATGAGAAATTCAAAAAATAAAAATCATTACTAAACAATATTTTGAACCAAAAGGCAGAAAATATTTCCTCAGCCATTAATCAAAAATTTTGTTTATCACTGATAGAGCTTGGGAGAAAAGAAAGAACCCCTTACTGGTAAAGAAGTGGTTGTTCACCTTGGACAATGATACTCAAGTCTGTTGGATAGTAGTACCCAGTTTCTTACAAGATATATCATGACTTTAGGTAAGCCATACAAGGCAGCATTGTTGTAACATAAGGTGATTTGGTTGCATGATTTTATTAATAAATGCTCTAATACCCATGGCATTCTGTGAGGTTTATAATAATGATTTTTAAAACCCTCATCAGACAATCACAGCAGTAACTTTAGGAAGCCACTAAAAAACTATGACTAACAAAAAGTAGGGGGAGAAAAACCTAAAAATACACACACACATATATGTACTCTACTTAGAAAAGCAACAACGATAATGTCCTAACAAATGTAATATACACAGCACAAAGTTTTCTATTAGAAATTTTCTCAAACTATTAAAATAGAAAGAACATTTTTCTTTCTCTCATTTTAAGATTTGTTTTAAACAATGAAGCATTCTGATAGTTAAATATTTATTACCATCTATGGTTTGTATATAGAATAGGCATGGTCCTTTCCCAAAAAGTCTAATTGTTATGTAACACTGAACAACCCAAGCTAGCAAATCTTTTTTTTTTTTTTGAAACAGAGTCTTGCTCTGTCATGCAGGCTGGGGTGCAGCAGCATGATCTTGACTCACTCAACCTGTCTCCTAAATTCAAGCAATTCTCCTGCCTCAGCCTCCTGAGTAGCTGGGACTACAGGTGTCCACCACCACACCCAGCTAATTTTTATATTTTAGTATAGACGGGGTTTCGCCATGTTGGCCAGGCTAGTCTCAAACTCCTGACCTCAAGTGATCCACCCACCTTGGCTTCCCAAAGTGCTAGGATTACAGGAGTTAGTAAATAATTAAGAATGACAATTAATACTAAAGAATTTAAAGAGAGAAATAGGTGAAGGCTAAAATAATCATTAGATAATTTATAGAAAAGATATGCAGGACTTCCACTGGGATTTGAAAAATAGTTAGAAATGGCAAGTAGAAGAAAAAAGTGACATATAGGAAAAGGAAATAAAAATTAGTAAAGGGAGAGCTAAAGAAATATTCTGGAGGCCAGGTATGGTGGCCCAAGCCTGTAATCCCAGCACTTTGGGAGGCCGAGGCAGGCAGATCACGAGGTCAAGAGATCAAGCATCCTGGCTAACACTGTGAAACCCCATCTCTACTAAAAATACAAAAAAATTAGCCAGATGTGGTGGCATGTGCCTGTGGTCCCAGCTACTCTGGAGGCTGAGGCGGAAGAATCGCTTGAACTGAGCAGGTGGAGGTTGCAGTGAGCCGAGATTGTGCCACTGCACTCCAGCCTGGTGACAGAGCAAGACTCCGTCTCAAAAAAAAAGAAAGATTCTGGAGTATCTGTCAAAAGTAGGAGGACTAGGCTAACAAGAATGAAGATGAGTTGGAGAAAAGTAGGAAATAAGGTAGGACAATACCAGATTATGAAAGGCATTGAAAGCTACCTACGGTGGCTAAATTATGTGGAAAAAAATAACAAGACTTATTGGGCACTGAAAAAAGACAATTAAAATAATCTTCAAATACAAGTAGTTTTAGAAAAATGCACATTAGGGACAAGAAACAGGAGAGTCAAAGGGAAGGCTATTCCTGTAATCAAGCACAACAGGACAAAGGTCTATGGAAAAATGGACCAAAAAGAAAAAGATATTTTAAAGGAAAAACTAAAAGAACCTGTTGACTACTGCTGGGCATAGTGGCTCATGCCTGTAATCCCAGCACTTTGGAAGGCTGAGGTGGGCAGATCACTTGAGGTCAGGAGTTTGAGACCAGCCTGGCCAACACAGCAAAACCCCCTCTCTACTAAAAATACAAAAATTAGCTGGGTGTGGTGGCACACCTAAGTAGCCTGAGCTACTCAAGAGGCTGAGGGAGGAGAATTGCTTGAACCTGGGAGCCGGAAGTTGCAGTGAGCTGAGGTCGTGCCACCACACTCAAGTCTATGTGACAGAGGGAGACTCCATCTCGAAAAGAAAAGAAAAGAAAAATCTGGTGACTACCTAAAATGTGGGAAAGGAAAAAATTAGTATAAAACTTTATGCCTGGCTATCTAAGGAAATGGTACTTGTCGTTACACAAACACGGAATTTCAGAAGTGGAGCTAGTTGTCACATGGTAGATGATTTCAGTATGGGATATGGTGAATTTGAGGTAGAATTCAAATAAGCCTTCAGGCAAGTAGCAGATATCCGGGACAAGAGGAAGGAAGAATTCAAAAACTGGTGGCCAGGCATGGTGGCTTACACCTGTAATACCAGAACTTTGCGAATTCGAGGTGGGTGGATCACCTGAAGTCAGGAGTTCGAGACCAGTCTGGCCAACATAGTGAAACCCTACCTCTGCTAAAAATACAAACATTAGCCAGGTGTGGTGGCACACACCTGTAATCCCGGCTACTCAGTTGGCTGAGGCACAAGAATTGCTTGAATCCAGGAGGCAGAGGTTGCAGTGGGCTGAGATTGCACCACTGCACTCCAGTCTGGGGGAAACAGTGAACTCTGTTTGAATAAACAAACAAACAAACAAACAACAAACTGGTGATATAGACTTGGACATCATTTTCATAGATGTGAGTTGACAGTCAACAAAGTAGGTAAGTGCTCCAAAAGATGACATACAGAGAAAGAAGACAAGGTCAGTAAGTGAGGCTTGAAGAATTTTCTACTGATAATATGAAAAAAAAAAAATAAGTAGAAGCAAAGAAAGAGAAGAAATAGTTGAAAAGTAAATAGCAGAGAACATGATAATGAAGTTTCATGAACTACGAGGGAAGAGTTGCAAGAGAAGAAATGATGGTAAAATGTTAAGAGGTTTATATAACCTCTGCTTTAACAGCTTAGAATCTCTAAGAATTAAAGAATCAATGAGATCAGATTTAACGTAAACACAAACAAAATATTGTAAATATAGCCTATATTAGTTGTATTCAAAAGTGGCATTTGGGAATGAACTGTGGTTATAACCAGTTGGGTAATTTTAGGTAACGATTATTTTTAACTCACCTCACAGCTCCTGAGACGGCAGGCCCATATAGGTGTGTTAGAGGAAAGTGGCTGAAGAGGCGCCAGAAGAGGTTCTTCCAGCATTCTGGGATAGGGGAGAAATATATATAAACATGCAGTTCAATGAACACACAAAACGCATTCAATTGCTTTATCTTCTTAGTATCAAAGATAATATATTGAGGTCATCAATAAGAGATTTGAATAATAACTACAGATTGATCTGATAGGTATTTTAGTTATCATTTTCTGTAACCATTACTATTTTATTAACTGCTAAGTCAAAGACCTAAGTTTCTTCTTCCAGGTACATGTAGTCCCAAAAAATTCAACTGTTTTACATATCTCTCCCAAAGCTTATTTTGTACTCTTATTATATAACTGTTTTCATTTATCAAAAAAATGATAAATTTGACTAGTTGAAAGTATTATTATGTGTCACTTCTTGGCCTTTTGGCTAAGATCAAGTGAAAAGTAACATTATGAAGTTCTAAGATTAAATGTCAAAATACTGTCTTAATTCAAAAATACTTTTATGGAACAATTAAAATAATATAAACCATGTACATGGTTTTATCACAGTTTTATTTTAAAGGAAAAACAAAAACTGAAATAAAAGTTAGCAAAAAAAATTTTAAACATTTTACCACAGAGGAATTCTACGCATAAAAATGTTATTAAACAATTTAAAAATTTTAGGAACTATAATGACTGTTACTTTATTCTAAAAAGTCTGTTAGTGTCAGATTAAATAAACAAATAAAATTTTCATACTGCTTCAAAAGATGACAAATGTCACTGAGGAAAAGTGGCGCTTCTGACATTTATGGCTTCCAAAGTAGCCTCCATATTACCAAGATGACTTAAAATAACTAAAGATATATTTGATGATAGTACCTTCTGTTTTTCGATCTTCTCCATATTCAGCCAGCTTTAAATGTGATAATCAGTAAAAAGATTTCCGGCCGGGCGTGGTGGCTCAAGCCTATAATCCCAGCACTTTGGGAGGCCGAGGCGGGTGGATCACGAGGTCAACAGATCGAGACCATCCTGGTCAACATGGTGAAACCCCATCTCTACTCAAAATACAAAAAATTAGCTGGGCATGGTGGCGCGTGCCTGTAATCCCAGCTACTCAGGAGGCTAAGGCAGGAGAACTGCCTGAACCCAGGAGGCAGAGGTTGCAGTGAGGAAGATCGCGCCATTGCACTCTAGCCTGGGTAACAAGAGCGAAACTCCGTCTCAAAAACAAACAAACAAATAAACAAAAAAGATTTCCATGGTGATATTAAGAGATGAGCTCCTCTTTCCCATGGACTCACCTGGTTACTGACTTTTTGGGCAATGTGAAGGATGACTGTGGATGAAGAATGTAATTGCTAGGATTGTCTGCTAGAGTATCCACGCTTACAGTTGATAAGTTTCTGTCACTAGGTTTCTCTTCAGGGACATCTCAACAACAAAAACAAGAACAAAGTAACATCAGTATCTTGAATAAGACCATAAGAATATACCTAACTAAAGCTTACGTATTTGTAATAGGTAAGGAAAATTTATGCTTTGCTGAGAATAAAGGAATAATGCTTTATTGAGAATTTCTCTGGTATTTGTTTACTTTAAATCATAATACTATTGTAATTTCATAATTAAGTTTTAGAATTTATATTGAATAGACAGGATATAAAAGTAGTAGAAATAATTGTATATTAAGAGTTCTGTAAATATATAGGAAAATGTAAAACTAAGTTTGTTTATATACTGTGCTCATGTTTTCTGTAAATTATATTTTTCTCTTAAGTCTAAATGACTATTAACAAAGAATGATAATACTAAGGTAAAAATATCTGCCCTAAACCATTAGCTATGAAGAAGCAACAAAACAGTATAGCTCTGAGGTTAGAAAAGAGATTCAAATAGAGGGGAATGGGAGGAAAGCAGAAAAAAAAAAAGAGAACTAACAGGCATATTATCAAACAGGTAAAGAAAGAATATATAAAGAGAAATAAAAAGCATGGTTCTCCTTTCTGAACCTGAAGGGGCCAAGGAAAGAGGAAAAGAGCAAGAAGATAAAAAGGATAGTTCAAAAAAAAAGTAATGAGTAACATGGCTAATAAAAATACTGATAAAGAGGCCAGGTGAGGTGGCTCACACCTGTAATCCCAGCACTTCGGGAGGCCGAGGTGGGTGGATCATGAGGTCAGGAGTTCAAGACCAGCCTAACCAACACAGTGAAACCCCATCTCTGCTAACAATACAAAAATTAGCTGGGCATGGTGGTGTGCGCCTATAATCCCAGCTACTCAGGAGGCTGAGGCAGGAGACTCACTTGAACCTGGGAGGCAGAGGTGGCAGTGAGTGGAGATTGTGCCAATGCATTCCAGCCTGAGTGAGAGTGAGACTTACATCTCAAAAAACAAACAAATAAATAAATTAAAATTGTTAAAGATATAAATAAAAATGTCTGTAGCTATTAGCACTATATTCTTGCTATTGTTGCTGTTATTGTTACTGTTATAATTAAGAAGAATTTATTTTATGCTCACTGGTCATTTGGGAGGAAGCAGGAATCAACCAGCTTCATAGAATTCCAAAATGAAATAGACAGCTAACCTAGACAGGAGTTGAAAAACGAACTTTGAATTTATTTGGGCCAGGAACTGTTTTCTAATTATTCAATTCATAATCTTTTACCTTAAAGAGATCAATGTTAGCACTGACTTACACGAGGTGATTTTTCTAAAATATTTATGTTTTAAAAACACCTTCAAATCCCCTATATCCCATTGCTACTCACCCTGAGTACTATTCACATCCACAAGCTGCCCCTGCGGTATAATCACTTGTGCCATTCCTGTCTGGGTAGATGGAATTACACGAAGTACCTGTCCATTTTCTGATGGGCTGGCAATGATCATCTTGGAAGCATTAGAAAAAAAAAATCAAATGCACATGCTTACACTGATTTAACAAAAATTATTAGTTAAATAAATTACTAAACACATACCTAGCTCTATGGTGGATTCTATGATTTTCCCCATTTTATAGATGAAAACATTGAGGCAGATAAACATTTTTTCCAAGGTCTCACAACTGATAAGCAGTAAAGCCAGGATTAAAAACAGGCACTTTGACCCTAATCCTAGGGTCTTAACCATCAGCAGTCTTAATCATTACACATGCATGAAGTCTAATTACTTGGTAGTCTGAATTAGTCTGTCTGGACTTAATACATTTACCTTTTGCCAATTAGTGTATTATTCATGCATGTTTCACCTATTTGTGTGGCTATCATTTGTCTTATGGTTAAAGTCATTTTCACTAGTTTAAAAATGGTAACTTATTAAATGCCTAAATTACATAGGATTTATGTTTGTATTTCAGCATTTATATATAGCTTCTACAGTTCATAAAGAATACTACAGCGTGCCCCAAAAGTCTGAAAACACAGGGAAAATAGTATATTTATTGTACTTTTTTCAGTTTAACAACTGAACCCACTCCTTCAAATTTAGAGGACTATCAACTAAAAAGGCATATGAAGTTGAAGAAAAACTTTTGGGCCTATCATTTGAAAGTATAACTGATACAGTATTTGAAATTAAGTTTATCTGATGCTTCCAAGACTTTTTGGACATCATATAAATTTTATTACTCTCCTATTGACACAGTCTTACAGTTTTATCCAAAGTTTCCTGTCCTTTTTAGTGCAGGTAATAATCCTTAATCATTCCAACCCACTTTCCCAGACTCCCCTTTTGCTAGGTAAAACATGAAAATATTGCTGATGCTTGACAGATTATAGTTCATGCCTGTAATCCCAGTACTTTGGGAGGCCAAGGCAAGGATCACTTGAACCCAGGAGTTTGAACTTGGGCTACCTGTCTTTACAAAAAAAAATTTAAAAATCAAAAAAAAAATTAAAAATCAGCTAAATGATGGCATGTGCCTGTTGCTACTTTGAAGGCTCAGGTGGGAGGATCACTTGAACCTGGGAGGTCAAGGCTGCAGTGAGCCATGATCATGCTGCTGTACTCCAACCTGAGTGACAGAGCAAAACTTTGTCTTGAAAAAGAAAAGGGCATTTTCAAAAATGCAAACATAAATTTGAAAAAATTTAAAAAAGATTAAATGTTGGGAGAAAAAACTTCAACAAACTAGAATGCTTTAAATATTAATATATAATAAACAGTTTCTAGAAATTAAGAATGAGAACTGTTTCCTTCCTTCCCCCAATGTTTAACAAGTTTCTTGAGATAAAAATATCCTGCCATAACACGTAACTTTAGCATGAAATAGCAACTTTAAACTCTGATGACAACTGCTTACACATGCTAAGTGCATACTAAGTGGCAGGACTTTGAATGCATTACTTCATTTAATCCTCATCACATGTATATCAAGTATATGCATTTTATAAATGAGGAAACTGTCACACAGAGGTTACGAAACTCATTCAAGGTTACACAGAGCTATTTAGTGGTAGGCTATAATTTAAGCAATCTGACTCCTTTAAACCTTCCCTCTGTACTGCCTCCCAATATTTGACAATGCTACTTAATCTAAAAAGAAAAATGACAAAAACAAAACAACATAAAACACCCTGCTGGACATTAACAGGCAACAGTAATAATATTGTTTTAAATTCTTTACCCCTTATAATGACATTGAATATCTGTGAAAAAATATATATATATATATTTAACTTTAAGGATTGGGGAAAGGAAAAATACTCTATTCATTCTTAGAAAATGAGTGCTGTGGTTATTTTTAAATCCAAATTAAACAAAATTAAGTTGTTATAAGTTATTCAATCATATTTAAAATTCATAATTAAGACTGGTATGTAGAAATATCCTCTTAATTTTGAAACTATGTTTCCCAAGCACAGAAGAGAAGAGTCTCATTTATTTTCTCACTTCTTAGCTTATTCTCCCTGGTACCTAAGAAACTATTTTCAATTAATATAATCTGACAGTGATAATATTACTTTTCCTATTTTTAAAAAACCAGCTAATTACCTTTAATCTTTGCAATGAAAGCAAACATGGTTTTGATGAGTCATCTGCTACAACACATTCTACTTCAGGCAGACCATGAAAATTATCAGAAAACTTTAGCTGAGTAGTCTTTTACCTGCTGGGCTCTTTGTGTACAATATTTCTAATAAACCCAAAAGACCAATTCAGCTTCACTCCAAAAACCTCTTCATCCATTGCAGATTCACTCACTACAGAATCTTTATTAATAACTTTTATATAAAAAGTCATATTGGGCTAGGCATGGTGGCTCACACATGTAATCCCAGCACTTTGGGAGACCAAGGCAGGTAGATAACCTGAGGTTAGGAGTTCCAGACTTGCCTGGCCAACATAAGAAACTCCGTCTCCACTAAAAATACAAAATTTAACTGGGCATGGTGGCGGGCAACTAATCCCAGCTACTCAGGAGGCTGAGGCAGAAGAATCGCTTGAATCAGGGAGGCAGAGGTTGCAGTGAGCCAAGATCATGCCATTGCACTCCAGCCTGGGTGAGAGAGCAAGACTCCATCTCAAAGGAAAAAAAAAAAGTCATATTGAAAGAAAAGGAAGGTATATTTCTTTCAAAAAGCTCCATTTGGCTGATGGCAGTGGTATGTCTCTGTAGTTCTAGCTACTGTGGAGACTATGACTGTGCCACTGCATTTAAGCCTAGATAACAGAGTGAGACATACCTCTTAAAAATAATAAATTAATTAAAATAAATTAAGAAAAACAAAATGCTTAGCTACAAACCCACAGCCAACATCATAGTAAATGGGCAAAACCTGGAAGCATTCTCCTTGAAAACCAGCACAAGAAAAGGATGCTCTCTCTCACCATTCCTATTTTTTTTTCACCACTCCTATTTAACACATTATTGGAAGTCCTAGCCAAAGCAATCAGGCAAGAGAAAGAAATAAAGGCCATCCAGGTAGGAAGAGAGGAAGGTGAACTATCTTTGTTTGCATACAACATGATTCTATTTAGAAAACCCCATATTCTCAGTCCAAAAGCTCCTCCAGAAGATAAACAACTTCAGCAAAGTTTCAGGATACAAAATCAATGTACAAAAATCTCTAGCATTCCAATATACCAACAACCACCAAGACAGCCAAATCAGGAAGGGAATCCCATTCACAATTGCCACAAAAAGAATAAAATACCTAGGAATACAGAAAGGTGAAAAAATCTCTATAATAGGAATAAAAGGCTTGCAAAAATTAGCTGGGCATCCTGTAATCCCAACTACCCAGGAGGCTGATGCAGGAGAACTGCTTGAACCTGGAAGGCAGAGGTGCAGTGAGCTGAGACTACGATCATACCACAGTACTCCAGCTTGGGTGACAGAGCGAAACTCCATTTCAAAAAAAAAAAAAAAAAAATTACAGAAGCCTGCTCAAATAAATCAGAGAAGATACAAACAAATAGAAAAAAAATCCACGCTCATGGATAGGAAGAATCAATATCATTAAAATGGCCATACTGCCCAAAGCAATTCACAGATTCAATGCTTTTCCTATCAAACTACCAATAGCATTCTTCACAGAACTAGAAAAAACTATTTTAAAATTCATACGGAACCAAAAAAGAGCCCAAATAGCTAAGGTGACCCTAAGCAAAAAGTACAAATCTGGCGGCATTATGTTACCTGACTTCAAATTGTACTATAAGGCTACAGTAACCAAAACAGAATGGTACTGCTACAAAAACAGACACATAGACCAATGGAACAGAAGAAAGAGAGAGCCCAGAAACAAGGCTGCACACCTACAACCATTTGATCTTCAACAAAGCTGACAAAAACAAACATAAAGGAAACAACTCCCTCTTAAGTAAATGGTGTTAACTACGGGTTACCCATATGCAGAAGACAGAAGCTGGACCCCTTCCTTGCTCCATATACAAAAATAAACTCGAGATGAACTAAAGATTTAAATATAAAACTCAAAACTATAAAAACCTGGAAGACAACCTAGGCAATACCATCCCAAACATGGGAATGGGCAAAGATTTCAAGACAAAAACACTAAAAGCAAAAATTGGCAAATGGGATCTAAATAAATTTAAGAGCTTATACACAGCAAAAGAAACTGTTAACAGAGTAAACAAACAACCTAAAGAATGGTAGAAAATATTTGCAAACTATGCATCTGACAAAGGTCTAATATCTTAAGCAAATTTACATGAGAAAAACAACCCCATTGAAAAGTGGGCAAAGGATATGAACAGACACTTTTTTTTTTTTAAGTTCTGGGATACATGTGCAGAATGTGCAGGTTTGTTACATAGGTATACATGTGTCATGGTGGTTTGCTGCACCCATCAACCTGTCATCTAGGTTTTAAGACCCGCATGTATTAGGTATTTGTCCTAGTGCTCTCCGTCCTCCTTTCCCCCACCCCGACAGACCCTGGTGTGTGATGTTCCCCTCCCCATGTCCATGTGTTCTCACTGCTCAACTCCTACTTATGAATGAGAATATATGGTATTCGGTTTTCTGTTCCTGTTAAGTTTGCTGAGGACAATGGTTTCTAGCTTCATTCATGTCCCTGCAAAGGATATGAACTCATTATTTATGGCTGCATAGTATTCTATGGTATATATGTGCCACATTTTCTTTATCTAGTCTATTATGGATGGGCATTTGGGGTGGTTCTAAGTCTTTGCTATTGTAAGTAGTGCTGCAATAAACATAGATGTCCATGTGTCTTTATAGTAGAATGATTTATAATCCTTTGAGTATATACCCAGTAATGGGATTGCTAAGCGAAATGGTTCTAGATCCTTGAGGAAGCATCACACTATCTTCCACAATGGTTGAACAAATTTACACTCCCATCAACAGCATAAAAGCGTTCCTATTTCTCACAGACTCCCCAGCATCTGTTGTTTCCAGA